AAGTCTCTCCGATCCATGGAGAAGGCCTGGGCCAGATGAATGAGTACATCAACTCGTCCTCTTCATCTTCGATGCATATGCAGGAAATCTCCCCTGAATTTTCAATGACGAAGATTTTGCCCCAGCCACTGAAAATGTTGAACCAGTTACAGAGTAACCCATCCCTATTTCAACCCTTAACAACCACAAGATCTCAACATTGAACTAGTTACTAACCTTGAAGCAAGTCAACCCGTCAACGAACCTGTTGAGCCCTCTCAAACCGAGAAGATGCCCCTATCCGACAATCCTCCTAGGACTCGACATTGTCTCAAGCGCACAACATGTCGTATCACTATTCCATGTCCTTCTGAGCTTCCTTCAGAGGACACAAGATCAACCAACCCCTCTCTTAAGCGACGCAGTACCTGCGCATCCAACTGACCTTTTCCACCACAATGAGGTACTTTAGTTTCTTTACATTTACTTTTTCATTTAAGCATAATTTCCCTACATTAGGTTTCATGCATTTAGGTCAATGCACCCCTCAAGTTTGGGGAGTGTTGTGTCTCAAACTTAGTTAGTTGCATTTTATAATGATTGGTTGAAATTTTTTTGTCATGGCATGAGTATATTAGGATAGTTGTTGGAATAAGTTGAGGATACCAGATGATGAAAGAAAATTCTTATTGCCTAGGCCATAATTTTTATGACCGTTGAATGATAAGCCTACCCTAGGACTTGATCCTTTGTGATCTTGTAACATGATTGTATGTTTTCTCTTCTTAAGGTGCTTAGAAAATTTTTAGGGAAGAACTTTTTGCGAGTCGTGGCATTAAATATTTGAAAAGATTGTGTCGAACTCCTTAATGTTTTGAATTGTGTTGAATTGAAAATAAATGACTCGACATAACTATAGAGGGACACTCCTCTATGTGTTGCCATAACCTAGAAAACTCCTTAAATAAATGGTTGCCTGAGCATATGAGTGAATAAAAATAGTCACGAGATGACTCTACCTAACTAGATTGGGGGTGAAGGTATGCTCCCTTTCACCTATAGTGTGGGCTGGTAGGTGTGATGAGTTGACTCCTCTTGAGCAGTACTAAAAAAATTGACAACACAAAGTATGAAGTTACATGTTGAATAAATATGAGAACTTACCTGGGAGTTTTCTAAATGTGTTAAAGTATAAAATAGATATAATCACGCACACACGCTGACAAAGAGTCTTGACCTAGGGAAAGGCGCTTAACTTCTCGTACAGTCTTGCACGTTGGGGCCAAACTTTTTGTTGTGGGATGAAATGTTAAACCACATGATTGTCCTAATTTTTACTTTTCCATGACAATTAATCTTTCTACCGCTTGTTATTCATTGCTTGAGGACAAACAATAGCTCAAGTTTTGGGATGTGATAACTCCGTAAAATACAGTGTTGGTCTTTTTACTTAGGTTGTTGTTTGTATAAACATTTGCATGTGGTGGATGAGTTTTATCGAGGCAAACATTATTTGGTTTAACTAATGCTACTAAAGAGTAAGGTTATTTGCTGGTTGTGTTGATGCATGAAATGACGAAGGAGGGATTTATTTGTTGAGACAAATCAATTTGCTAGGGCAACAGAGCAGAAAAAGATGATAGCGAGGAACATATTTTCTTGCTTAGACGAGAGATCATGAAAGTCTGACGTAACCTACAATACTGCTGATGTCACTTGTCCACTCATGCCTTTAGTAAGTTAATGGGGATCACTGCCAGCTGCTTTAACAAGCTGGGTATAACATTGAGGGTATTTATGGAATTTCCAAGGGACTAAACCCTATAAATTCCCATTATAAATACCTCATTATAACTCTTTAAAAAGAGAAGAGGAGAACCGGAGATAATAATATACCTGAGGCTTGAGTAGGCGACTGCAGTATTCACTTTCACACCATTCTCCACTCGACTTTCTTGGGGCCCTCTGTAGCTGGACTTCATTGGAGCGACGACCAGGCATCTAGAGAGTCTAGTCGCAGAGCAAGCGTGGTGGTGGTCTGAATGTCACAACATAGATATGATTTTAGGAGTTTTTCTTCCTTTATTTTTATTTCCATATCGTTTAAAGGGTCGTACTTAAAGAATGATTTTTGGGATGATATTTACCGAATCATGAATTGTTTTACTTGGTGTTGGATGTTGCTTGGTTGAAAAGTTATTTGTTGGTTAATGAATGATGCAGTTTATTTATGCTAAGTGTTGTTTTGTTCATTGTTTTAATATTTTGCATTGACATGTAAGAGCTTTTGAGATATTGCCTAGTGCCTCAGCAAAACATTCCTATCTTTGTATGAGCTTTCGAGAGATTGCCATTTTTTTAGGAATAAATGTATGATATCGAGAGAGTTAGGGTAGATCTATGTGAACACTGGAACTAATCCGAGATGGTGAGGTTCTAATCCACCTTAGAGATAAGGAGAGGGTTTTATTGGACTAAAACGGGTAAATACTTGAGTAAGATAGGCAAAGACTACAGTTTACGCTGAAGGGTATTTCCACATCAACATTCTGACAAACCAATGGTTGTAGCTCACGTCGAGTAGTATTGTGTTAGCAACCGTCCTTGAATACTCTAGTAATCCTGTTGGACAGCCTAAGCATAACACACCAAATTAATGCTCTGTTAGAAGTATGATTTTGTGAGGCTTTTCTAAATATATCGACCTCAACATTTTTATTTGCTTAGAAAACTTTTATTTGTTTACCTTTGCATATTTATATATCCTCGACCAAACTTTTATGCACACCACACTTTACAATATTTCCTACCTCGGTAATACTTTTCCACCTGTTTATACCACTCGATACTATTTACTTTTCTTTTTTACAAGAACCTCAGACTAGCTTGTGACATCTAGTCTTAGCTGTAGCAAAATATCAAAAATTCCTACCAATCCATGTGGAGACAATACTCAACTTACTACTATATTACTTGCATTGATTGTGTACACTTGCATAGATTTGCTTGCCTTAGCATATACATTTACAAGCGATCAACACTCACAAGGGGTGGGTTAGTTGAGAGTGTGGTGTCTGATGCAAAGATTTGGGTGCTACATTCTTGGTATACTAGAGGGGTGCATGATCTCCGAAATATAGAATCTTCAGCCGCACCATGTTATCTACCATAGAGTAGAGAGTGAGTATACAAGTATACTCACTAAAGAAAAATAGTAGATTTGATAGCTTGAGCCTTTCAGTGATATACAATTAGTATCATCTAGTTGTTAGTGTGGCATTGAGCTAGTTAGCTCAGCCTTCGGATGTTTCCATTGGCAGGTTAGTAGATCGATCAGTTCGAGGAGCCTTAGAGTGACCGTGGTGCAGATCCAGTACAGAGCAGAGTATGTCATCAAGTTGTTAAAAGGCATGTACATTTATAAACTTTGATGTATTATTTAGTCATAAAGTTAGTAAAGAGTTAAAATATTTTTTTTGAAATGTACATATTTATTTTGAGAGCTTTTATATGTAAAGTTTAAAGTATATTTTATGTTACGAATGTTTTTATATTATGAAAATGGTCGTTTTAAAGTACAAGAAATGAGTAAGGAGTTGGTCAGCCACTATGGTGGTTCTTTTTGTCATCCTAAATCGGTCGACTGTGTGTCGTACTGGTCAATAGTGTTACACTTTTTATCATTTTCAAAACTCCCTTCAAACGTCTATATTCCAGCACACTGTAAACATTTCAAATTTCTCATTAATATAATTATCTTTTATTCTTTTAATCAATAACCACCTTTCAAACAAATTACATAAACATAGATGGTCACTTACTAAAATGCATATATGCGTACAATAGTTTCTTCGGATTTCCCTCTGTCTTAGTCGTATCTTGGTCCTAAAAAATATCTTCTCCCTCTTCTCGAGGCATAATTTCCATGTCAAAACCTCCCATTTCATTCATTTTATCGACTAATTTCATCATCATAATCTTCTTCTTCTTTTACATTCAATTATAACAACTTACCTCTCTTCTTCAAATTGAGATTTCAATTCTATTCTTCTGACTTAATGTTTACTTCTCAGATGAAAAACGGTTTCTTGAGATGAAAACCCCTTGCTATGCTCTCTGATTCTTGTATTTACCGTCGTTAAACCGCTTCAATTATATATAAATACTCGGTACTTTCCCATTTGTATCGAAATATGTGCATAGATATGATACTTTTAAATACAATTCTCCATTACCTTCTTTTTATAATTCGAAAGCATCGATATTTGGGAAAACTTTCAAAATAGTCAGTTTCCAACTAAAAAATTATACCGGTATAACGGGAAAAATTATACGTTACTTTAATGATATTGGTAGCAATTTAAAATTTTACCTTGTTAATGTCACAACATTTAAAAAAAATTACTGTTATACATTTCAGTAATATTTTAGGCTTCTACTACAAAAATTAAGCTCGTGTTGCCCTCTTCCTTCGCACATTAATGTTATAAGTTGGTCTCTATACCATAACTGGTTTCAGTCTGAACTGTTATATAACTCGAAAATATTGATATTCTTCTAAGTGAGTTTCGATACTAACTGGAACATAACTTACCAGTTAAGCCATTCTTTTGTTTCGTAAACTACATGAAACTTAATATATTACGCTTAATTTAATATTTTCGATAGCTTTTAATCTATTTCATTAAGTCCCTTTAAATATTTTCAGTTACGCCATTTTTTAATCTTATATTACACTGTTGTTCCTTAGAATTACCCAATTTTTTTTAAAAAAGTTTTATTAACTAAAAATAATTTATGAAAAAGAAAAATATGTCGGTGATTGCGTAAGAGTTAATAATTTTTTTAAAAGACTCGGTGCCCCCCACTTTTAAAAAAGATGTCATTTAGACATAACTAAACTACCAGGCCCTTCCCGTAATTTTCAAGAACTTCCGAGGGCCTTTTCAAATCCCCCTCTTTTTCAATCCAAATTCTTAAAACACTTTTAAAAACGTTTTAAACAAATACTAGTAAAATCTAATATTGATATGTAGATTCCGGGATTTGAGAAATTCGAGGCGGAAAAAGGAAATTGCTCGTTACTGTTTGCATGAGCGAGTGCTCAAAAGCAAAGTTCGAAATACCGACGACTCCCATCTGTTTTTTTCCTGAAGTGAATTGAATCGTTGGAGTTGGAAGTGAAAAGAAAAAGAGATGGATTGGAAGAATATTTTTTTTTGTTTAGGGTTTAGAAGTTGAAGATGACAGAGGTGAGATTGCATATATACGATACCAACAGTGGATCCGATAAAACCAACACCACCATTCTCCAAATCAACAAGATCTTTAAGGACGGAATAGGCCTCGGCGGCATTTTCCACAGCGCCGTTCAGGTCCTTCTCTTCTTCCACTTTTTGCACTTCCGTTACTTTCTCTACTATTGTGCTTGAATGAGATCTAGTGTTCCTGGTATAAGAAGTTTTCTTTTTCTTTTTGGTCGGTGTTCAGTTTCTAGAATTTAAATTTGTCCAATTCAAGTCACGTGAATGATTTTCGCCGATTTGAAACAAGATGTGTCGTTCTTGTTGCTGCATTCGTATTGCTGAAAAGTTTTTAAATCTTTAAAGAAGACGGTGTTTTTAAATCTTTGTTTTGGTTAAAAGGAGTAGTTTCTACTTTAAAGGTAGCTGAGAAGTTGAAAAAGGAAAGATATAAAGGAAAAAAATCGATGATAACTCTGTGGAGTAAAGGTTTTATCATTCTAATTTATCGAATTTATCTAATGAAATCTAAGAGATTAGCAGTGTCGTCAGCAGTGGTCAAAGTGTTACAGAACGGAGAAATATGCTTTACAAAGTTTTAAGTTAAAAATTCTGCGGCTTTTTGTACCGTTGATGATTTTGCTACAAGATGTTCGATTTTTGTGGATTATTTGTATCTAGTTCTAATTTTATTTTTGAAAGAATCTTATAGAAGATTACTGGATATATAGAGAGGACAGTTTAACTTATTGTTGCAGTTTTGGGTACTGACAATGTTTACTTACCTTTCTGGCAAATTTAGATTCATTTTTGTCATTAATCTCATGGCTTATCCTTTTCATTGTTGTTTTCTATAGCGTAATTCTTTTAACCAAACCAATAATTTATGGATCGGATACCCATGTATGTATTTTCAGACAGTGTTTATGTGGTCAGGTTTTCCTATAGATGGGTGCACAAATTTTGGTTGTCAGCTTCTCACTTTTTTTCAAAACTTATCATTTATTGATGCCTGTTATTCTCTAGTTTAATAACTTAATTTGCCCTGTTGGCAGGTATGTGGAGAAGAGGAATGGTCTTTTGGCTTTTGTGAGCATGGGTCTGGGGTGTTTAGTTGTCCTTCTGGAAAAAATCTGATGTACGCATATTGTGAGTCCATGGTCCTTGGAAGAATTAACTTTTCAAAATTCAAGGTAAACCAGATCTTGCAGGAGCTTAGTAGCGAGTGGCCTGGAAGTTCCTACGACTTGTCCAAAAATTGTAATCACTTCTGTGATGAGTTCTGTGAAAGGTTTGGTGTCCAAAAGCTCCCAGGTAAACTTATGATTTGTTGTACTCTGTAGATGGGTGTACGCCTGTTGGTAGCCCTGATGGTTAATGCTTTGCTTGTCCCAATAACTTTTCCATGCATTCTCAGATGATCAAATTCTTTGATATAGCCTTTTAGTTGAACATTGAGAAATGGGATATTTTCTTGCCTATTTTTCTTTTATGATACTAACAAACAATTATATGCCTGACCTTATGTAAGTTAGGTCTGGCCTTTTCCTTGACATAAATTGGTGGAGAATGTTGTGCTTAATGGGAACGGTTAATTTGTGGGTGCTAACCATGACCTTAGTGCTTTGATTCTTCAGTTCTATCCCATGCCTTTCCAATTTCCATAAACCTGAATATCAATTATTCAGGTTCTGGCTTGGGCTACTTTATTCTCAAGTGTACGGTTGTGAAGCTATGGGAAATTATATTACATTCACTTGTTATGCTGGCCCTTATCTGGCTGTGTTTTGATCAGATAAAATGTGATCTCTAAGAGCGTGTGTCTCCTGGTTGGTTTTATTTCAACTTACAGTAGTTTGCTTGTTCTTACAAATTATATCAGGTTGGGTCAACCGTTTTGCTAATGCTGGAGACGCTGCTATAGAAATATCAGAAACTACTGCCTTGCGGGCGAGTGACCATTCTTCAGTTAATGATCACAAAATCAACTGAAAATTTATAAATTTCTCGGAAACAAGCAATGCATGCCACCATATGCATGCATTTAGAGGAATATAGTTTTTATGTACTTCAAGAGGAGAATATGTTCCTCCCATCACTTTGGTCATCTTCCTATTAATCAAGTGTGAGCCTTTGTTGATGTGTTTAGTGGTTATAAGGACCATTTGTCTGTTCCAAAGGCTTTGTGAGGAAGCGTTTGCCTTAAAACTTTGCAAAAATAGTAAAGGTGGAGTAACATCTGATTGTGATCTGGAAGCGTTTGTCAACTGCAGTAGTCTTTTTGTTGTATGCATGCTTTTATTGACAAGCATGGAAGTCGCAAACTGAAATGTTCCTGTATTCAGTGCTTGAAATTATTGTTGTTAATTGTAGCAGTTGAGACAAGCCAAGACAGAGATAGTATCAGCTAGCAAAGTGGCATATCGTTTTCTCGTGGGTGTTACATCTAGTTCTAATGGTGGTATTGATAACCCCGACAACTCGAACAGCGGAAGCCCCAGATTTCAATCAGCTTGGTTTAAAAACCTCATCACTATTGGTGTCAAACGATATAGCAGCTCTGAAATTGAACCTCAGGATGGCAGTGCTTTTCCTCAGCACGGGCAACAGAATTCTACACAGACAACATGACAGAATTTTCAAGATTTGGAAAGACCACTGTAACATAATTTATGAGATGCGGACAACCATGGCAACAGAACTCAAGGCATGATATGCGACCGGGAAGAATTGTTTGTTGTGTAATAGTTGAAACGCTGCATAGCCAATCAAGATACCATTCCATTGTGTATCAAATGTAAAATGTTTTATTTATTGTCCAAACTGAAATTTTATCATGCCCCGTGTATTGTAAAAGTTTCATTGGAAAACTCTTGTGCTAGTGCAAATCCTCGTTCCAACTACAGATTGCCATTTGTGTAGGATATTGAAACTTTCATGTATTACGGGTTGAGAAGTAATAGATACAAAGCTTGCGCAACACCATTCGCCTCCCTGTAAATGTTGGAAACCTTAACTTGCAGATGAGCATCAAGAAGCCGCCTAGCCTCATACAAACAAACCCGTAAAACACTTCGATCATATGAAGAGTTCAAAAGCTGGTTACCATATTAAAAGCATCACTCTCAACAACACTCGGACCGTCCATCTCCATTGCCATTAAGACACTGGAAAATAGGAGCTTCAACTAAACTGTCATTACGAACACATGCACAAATAAAAGCATGACCAACAATAACGGAACCAACATTGTCACGTGCCACAATACACACTACCGGAGACCCAAGCTTCCTTGGACAAGCACATTATCTTAATGGTTCCAGTTGGTGGCTTCAACCATTGACAATGTCGAGCCAACGATGACGACACTATGGATTCTCCAACAGATGAAATAACTTCAAGATACGATGATTGAAAAGCAACACTAGAGGAAATGATGTGCCATCCAAGTAAAAGCCAGAATTCATGATAGCACACATTTCAGCGATTCCAAATATTCCATAAGAGAATGAGAAAAGTTATAAACTGTTGATCTGAGAGAGAGTGTATGAGAGATTCTAACCAGGCACCATAAGAAGTAAATTGCAATGACTCTTCATCAACAAAAAGACTAGCAGATTCCAAGATTGGAAGAACCTCTGAGCAATCCTTTAAAGAATGAAGAATTGTTTAATCAGAGTTTCCACATCAGCAATAATGCACATAGAAATATCAGCCATAGCTAAACGACAACCTATCGGAAATGCCTCATATGATGCCCTCCAACCAAAAATACGAATTTGAAGAAGAGTATGATGTCTTGACAAATACAACCATAACAGAGAAGCTGGAAGCGTACCTAAATGTCGGTGTAGTAACCACAAATAACCTGATCGAACTAAGAACCCAAAGAATATCCAGCTCAAATAACTGTAGCAACATCCACAGGGGAGATGAGACATTGTAAAATCTCACTAGCATCTTGGGGAGTAAAAAACAAAAAACCTCTGGTTCATTCCATTCAACACGATCTGCAATCAGAAAATAACCACAAACGATGTGGTTAGGAGTGGTGATGATAAGAAGAGTTGTGAGATGAACCGATATAGTACCACCCAAGCTATCTCTGAACAAAGAAACCTGACTATTCACACCGATATACCAAAAGAGGCCTTCCTGTAAATTGAAAATGACTTAAAGATGCCTTGCCAGGCTAATGAAAGTCGATTACCGAGAGATGCGTCGAGGACGTTCCCCTATGGAAACTACTTTGCAGCTAGAACATATGAAACAAGCTCCGGATTTAAAATATAACGCCAGATTATCTTCCCTTGCATGGCAATGTTAAATAATCGCAAATTATGAAATTCTAACCCGCCCAAACGCTTAGGACGACAAAGAGTTTGCCATGAAAGTAATAGCCATCCTCGATTTTCTGAGTCACCACTCAACCAGTATGAACATATCACCGAGATCGGGAAGAAGATAACAACCCATGGCATATGTGGGTAGTGCTTGACTAACAACTTTGATGTAAACTACACGTCTTCCATTAGATAATAAGTTCTTCGACCATGTACGTACTCGGGAAGCCACTTTGTCACGAAGAAAACCAAAAGCAAGAGTTTTATTACGTCCAATAATAAGCGGCATTCCTAAATAATTTCCCGGCTCCATTACACAAGACACGCCTAACCAATAGCTTAAGCGTAGCTGATCGGCTTGAGGAGTAGAGGGACTAAAAATATAATCGATTTATCAAAGTTTACCTTTTGACCCGAACTTCTTTCATGGAGATCAAGAACGGCCAGTACTCGCTGAAATTTTGAATCCAATGGTAAGGAAAAATAAACTATCATCTGCATAAAATAAGTGGGTCACTCGAGGACCACCCGACAAGAACTAAGTATAATACACTAATCCGTTCCGAGAAGAAGATCATACGGTTAAGGCATTACACGGACCACTAAAGTGACTAACCCAAAATTTTATTCCAAAATATTTGTAAAACATCAATAAAACATTCATCACAACAATAAAATATCATAAATTAAGGTCTACAAATATAACCACTGAGTTTTAAATCAAAACAAAGTTGTGACTCGAATAAATACAAGGACCACAAAAATACATTCCCTCTAATGACTCAAGACATACTCTGAAGAATGACTGATATAGAATGTATCACACGATAGGCTCCTCGTCAATCCTCTACTGACTCGCAAACGAAACAAATTTCAAACGCTGAGCTCACATGCTTAATACTGCGATAATAACTATGCAATACTACATACATTCATTACATGAACATGTCGTTTCGTAAAGTCATGGGTATGCGAAAGTATATCAACAAACATGAGATAGGTCTAGTGAGGAAGTCGTAAGAATCTTACGTGTATCTCAGGACAACACACCAGCCTACCTTCAAATGCTCGAGGGTCTCGGGGTAAGAACCGAATTTTTGTGCACCAAAAGCTTACATCCTTAGCCTACATGTATGCTTTCGACGTTTGGGCACGATCCAGAATTTTACGTTCATCGGATATGTACTTGATCGATTATGTAACGCCCGAATCCCGAGTTAGAACTATTGGGCTAACCCGAGATGGGCCTTGGTTTAATTCCTTAGCTTGTAGGAAGCCTTGACACAAATTAAAAAGGATTTGGGCTTGAGGTAAGCCCAATAGCGAATAAAAAGGGTGTTTTAATATGCAGTCAGAATTGGAGGGACCAAAGAAGCAATTATACCCTATTCAAAAATAAAGATGAAATCCTCTAATTGAAGTTGATTTCACATTTGTTTCCCTTCCTCATTTTCTCAACTCTCTTTTGTCATTTTCTTCTTCCAAGGCTTCGCCTTCCTTCTTAGAAAACTTGAGCAAAGGTGGGAGCTTTAGTTTATCTCCAGTTTATCCTTTAAACCAAGGTATGAACCACTTTCTACTCTTCCCAAACTTTATTTCAAGCTCACTCTTGCAAGGTTTGGTGATGTATGTCAAAAATAATTTTTGAAAGGGTTTAAGGAATTCAGAGAATCCAGCTCGTTTTAGTGTTTCTTAGCTATAGAAAGTGTTTTTAAACCCTTCATAGCCTTCAATTTTAACTAGTAATCTTTGTTTTGAATCTTGTTTAGTGAGGGAGGTTGGAGAAAGCTCCAAAGCTAAAGGAAATGAGAAACTCACCCTTAGTTGAGCATTGGGTGTTTTCAGTAATTTAGCATCAATGGTAACTCACTCTTGACTCAATTGTATCATATGTAATTCATTTAGATGAAATGTAGTAGGCTATATAATCTTGAAGCATTCTCATGGTAGATTTCACGTTTTAGAGTTATAAGCAGGTATAAAGCCTTATTTATGCTCCTTTGTATCTGCATAAACATTAAAAATGTTTGGGGTGCATGAGCTCCGTGATGCAGAATCCCTCAGTCGCACCATGATGCAAGCCACAGATTAACAACCCCTTAGTTGTACAATCAGACCTATGCCACTTGCCATTTTGTTTAGTGAATGCATATAGTACAATATAATTTTAGTGAGGCACTGAGCTTGTAAGCTCAACATTTGGAATGTGTTTTCGTGCACAGGTTCTTAGGAAGTAGATCATGGAGAGCTATCGCCATCAAATATTTCAGTGCAGTAGATTCAGATTTCCAGATACCTTTCAGAGTACATCTTGAGTCATCTTTAGAGGGCATGTACTATTATGGACCTTGTTATGTATTTAGTTGTAACTCTTTTAAAATTAAGTATTTTGTATTATTTTGCGGAGGTATTTTGGGAGCTCTCCATTATTTGTAAATATAGGTTATTATTATGCTTTTATATTACTTTATGAATGTCTAAATTTAATAGATTTACAATCAGTTTTAAAAGAAAATTTTGGGTCACTATTTCGGTAGTCCCGTGTAACATTATAATCCAAGGATCTTAGGGTCTAACTGGATTAGGGTGTTATATTTAGTGGTATCAGAGTGTCCAAGTTTATTCATTTCTAGCACCCGCAGGTTGGATTCAATCAGTGTCTGTATATGTGCATTGCCTCTAAAGAGTTTAGAGTACTTAAATAACTGGAATAAAAAGAATGACCCCCGTAATTTTCTAATTTCAGATAGACTCTATGGCAGACAAATCATATTATAGTCAGGATGGCAGAGATAAGAGTCATGCCTCACTACCACCCAATATTAGTGAGGGACTTGTCCCAGATACCTACGGCCATCAGGATCCAGCAAATGCGGGGGTCGAGGAGGCTAGCTTCTTCAGGGACCACACCTCCGTAAGGGACCGCACCTCCGTACTTAGGCATATAGCTAGATCACTCCCCAGTTCTTAAGCTGCACCGCCTCCCCCTCCAGTACCCCTAGTTCAACCAGTGCTTATTCCCATGGAGTCCCCAATAGAGAGAATCCGAATATATAAGATCACTGAGTCCTTCGATTTTGAGGATGATGATCCTATCACTCTAGATCAGTGGTTTAGGGAGACGCTTTGTACCCTCAGACAGTTGCATCTCACCCCAATGGGTAACTTAGAGTGCGTTACCTCCCTGCTTAAGAGTGATGTGATATAGTCGTGGGAGACCGTAGAGTTGGTGATGGAGACAAAGAGGCCTACTTAGGAGCAGTTCCTCACCAGTTTAGAGAGAAGTACATCAGGAAGAATCATACTGATGACTTGATAAAGCAGTTCCTACACTTGACTAAGGGTAACCGTTCAGTGGTGGAGTACGAGTGAGAGTTTCTTTAATTTAGTAAGTATGCCACGAAATTGATTCCGACTTAGAAGCATTACTATTATCAGTTCCGATAGGGCATTCGGGGTGAGAATTTGACCCACCTTGGAGCAGATTCTCCCAGGGTCTTTGCTCAGCTGGTCCACCAGGTGATGGCAGTTGAGAGAGCCCTAAATAGGTAGACTAGGCAATCTAGTGAGGCTACAAGAT